CCCCCCCCCCCCCCCCCCCCCCCAGCGCATGGTGGTTTTGAGCTCCTGCGTGCACGCATGCATGAGGCAGTCCCTCTGCCAGTAGCACCCTATCTGTCACTTACCACCCAGGGCTTGTCACAGAAGTTGTAGACAGAATGCAAAGAGTTAACGCTGGGGATTCCAGCGTACTGCAGCCCAATGACCAAACTGCGGTAGTCTCCGTTCCGAGCCATGCTGAAGGCGTGCTGGCGGATCAGCACAAAGTCCGGCTTCAGAGACCTGGGGTGGCAGGGGTAGAAGTGTCCAGGGTACCCCCAAAAGCTCCCCATCACCCTCAGAACAAAAACCAACTTTCTAAATCTCCACAGCTCCTAGAAATGGCAAGGAAAAGTGCCTTCTCACCCCAGCACACATGCACAAGCTGTTTTCTCTGGCACAGGCACCCTTTCTGCCCTTTCCCCATCTGGCGACCCCCCGTTAAGCCTTTCCTACCTGCTCCTCTCCTTGCCAAGGTCACCTAGCAGCCTACCCACTCAGCTCTGACAGCTCCCTGGTCACAATCTCTCAGACTATTAGCTGTCCTCAAAGGATGCTGCCCAGAATACATTCCAGCCTCAGGGCCCCTACACTGGCTGTTCCCTCTGCCTGAAACATTTCCCCGCTAGATACGCCCACATAGCTCTCCTTCACCTCCTTCGGGTCTTTCCTCAAATGTCTCTCACAATATTGGTCTGCCTTATCCAAATTGCAGACCCCCTCTGTCATCCAACAATCCCTATATCCCTTTGCTGCTATATATTTTTTCTTAGCACCTTTACATTTTCTTTTATTTTCATGTTTGTTTATTTTTAAGAGAGAGCATGCGCGCGCAAGCAGAGAAGGGGCAGAGAGAGGGGGACAGAGGATCCAAAGCCGTCAGCATAGATGCGGGCCTAGAGCTTGTGAACTGCAAGATTGTGAGCTGAGCTGGAGTTGGAAGCTCAACCGACTGAGCCACCCAGGTGCTCCCCACCTTTACGTTTTCTTATTTGTTTATTGTACGTATCCCACAGTCGAATATAAGCTTCCTGAGGGCAGAGGGTTTCGGGGGGGGGGGCTTTTTTTGGGATCTGTACATGCTCAAGGAATATTTTCTGATTTAGGGGCGCCCGGGTGGCTCAGTTGGTTAAGTGTCCGACTTCAGCTCACGTCATGATCTCACAATTTGTGGGTTTGAGCCCCACCTCGGGCTCTCTGCTATCGGCACAGAACCTTCTTCTGATCCGCTCTGTCCCCAACTCGCATGCTCTCTCTCCCTCTCTCAAAACTAAATAAACCTCAAGAAAGAAAGAGAAATATTTGCTGATTTAATAACTAAAACGTTTGGCTTGTGGTCTGCTAGGATCCTTGGCTCTGCAGAAGAGAACTTATCTTCCCACATTCTGTACCTAATTTTTTTAATTGACATATAACATTGTATAAGTTTAAGGCATAAAACAGGTTTCTCACACACACACACACACACACACACACTGTGTGTGTGTGTGTATATATATATATATATACACACACACACATATATGTTTATTTATATATTTATGTTTATTTTTGAGAGACAGAGACAGAACACAAGCAGGGAAGGGCAGAAAGAGGGGGGGGGAGACACAGAGTCCGAAGCAGGCTCCATGCTCCAAGCTGTCAGCACAGAGCCTGATGCGGGGCTCGAACCCACCAACTGTGAGATCATGACCTGAGCTGGAGTTGGACGTTCAACCAACTGAGCCACCCAGGTGCCCCGACACGCTTATATATTGTCATATGATTGCCATTGTAGGGCTGTTTAGCACTTCCATCATGTCACACAATTATCATTTCCTTTTTGTGGCGGGAATAATTAAGATCTAGTTTCTTAGTAAGTTTGATAATTTTGATACAGTATTGTTATCTTTATTCACTGTACTGTGCATCATATCGCCAGGGCTTAATTATCTACCAGTTGCAAGTTTCTAGCCTTAAAAAGCTCTCCTATTCTACCCCCACTCAGCCTCTGGTAACCACTACTTTACTCCCTGTTTTTATGAGTTTGGCTTTTTTTAGATTCCACAGACAACAGGTAATCATACAGTATTTGTCTTTCTCTGTCTGATTAATCTCACTTAGCATAATGCCCCCGAGGTCCATTCATGTTGTTGAAAATGGCAAGATTTCCTTCTTTCTCATGGGTAAGTAATATTTCATAGTATATGCAGACCACATCTTCTTTATCCATTCATTCACTAATGGGCACTTAAGTTGTTTCCGTATCTTGGCTACTGTAATATAGCTAAGTTCTTGCTCACAGAAAAATGGATGGGGAGGTGGGGGCTTCTCCCTCAGCTCTATGGGAGTTCTTATTCTTCTCCCATAACTCCAAATTAACCTTTCTATACTTACCGCACGACCTTCACCCCATTCCGAAGAACTTCCATGTCCACAGAGAATCCACCATTGGCGTGAGCCACGAGGTTGAGATCAGAGAATTCAGCCTAGGAAAGAGAAAAAAAATGGTGATTCAGCCACGTCACATGAAAATGACCATCCAATTTTCAATCTACAGCTGACCCCCAGCTCCATCCGCCCCAACTAACCTGTTCTACTTTAATGTCAATTTCTCCATGGATCTTTTTCCCTTTGAAGTATTTTGCCCTGGAGAGGAAAAGCAGAGCACATCCGTCAGTCTCAGGAAGACAAAACCCAGGCCAGTCCTTTGACCCTTTTACCCCTCCAGTGCTACTAGAGAAACCATAACGTGCTTCGCGATTGTTGAAACACTTTGAAAAGCTCAACAGCGCTTTATGAACGATAAAGTGTGTGGTAATCCTCACGGAGGTATGTCAGTGTCAAAGGACGAGGCGAACTGTAAAAATAAGTCCTTAAACTGCAAGTGGCAGGCAGGCCCTCCTCAGAGTATGGTCTGCTCATCACATTGCTACCGTAAGTGTTTTTGAGAAAAGTTTTGCAAAACGAGGAGTGCTTTGTAAGCTGTAACACACTTGGAACTTGCACGGAGGTTCGTAAATGGCAAAAAAAAAACAACCCTTAGAGAATGCATAATACATGAAGTGTGCCAGGCTATGTCTCAGCGCCTGTGTCTGTTCGTGTGGTCTGAAGCGTCTCTCTGCTCTCTGGCCCTTTCCTGCGGAGGGGCACATTTGCCACGTGTGGCTGTGTGCTATGAGGGACGCAACGGTGGGGGGCAGCTATACAAAAAAGGAGGAGCAGATTGAGGGTGCAGGCTGGCGGTGGTTCTGAGAAGCCAGAGCCAGCAATGATGGGGGTGGGGAGGGATGCAGCTGAGGACAAGGGGAAGCCATAGGAGGGAAGAGGGGTAGGAGCAGCAGTAGAGGGATCATGAACTGCCATGTCACTGTCCCTGGGCCCAACCTCAGCTGCGCTTGATTTCCAGTGGCGTCCTCGCCCAGGCCCAGGATTCCTGCTTGACAGGCTTCTCTGCCCATGGAAGCTCATCTCCAGTCATACAAGACGGATGAGGAAAGGAGCCACTCTCAGGGTTACCTATGTGCACACATTCAGGGTCTCTGACACACGCACAGCACAAGCAGGCCCTAGTGACTTCACAGACATACCCCAAAGACCCCAAGCACGGCCGTTTTCTCCTCTCCCTCTCCCTCCCTCCCAACCTCTCTCTCCCTCTGTCTCTCTCTCGCACACACACGCACACACACACACTCCATTACTGACACTGTCCCCTCACAAGTGTTGGAAGAGAATTTCTCTGAGACCTGCACATTTTTCCTTTATAAAATAATGATGAGTGTAGACTATACCACTGTCTTTCAAACTTTGTTTTGACCATAAGCATAGTGAATACTGTGGCACTCTGCTCAGATCTCCTCTTCAGGGCCAATGCACCCTGGATGTCAGCTGCTAACAGCTTATGGCTATGTCCCGCTGAGAACTGGCTTCTGTCATAGGGAACTTGGCCTTGGCCAAGGTTACACCTACTTCAGGCAGCCCATGTCTTATATCTGGTTTATGAGTGAGTACAAAGGCTGGCCTCTTTGCCTCAACAGAGGCTGACTCTGAAGGACCATCCCAGCCCCAGAGGTCCCCCTAGGATCAGCTGAGGCCTCTGATGCAGCTGTATTGTGGACCAGCTTCTCCTTCTGCCCAACCCTGCCTCCTCACAGGTGTTGCTTCCAAAGGCACTCCCCAGTAAGCCTCCTGCATATAAATACCTGCCTCGAAATCTCTTTCCAGAGAACCCAACCTAAGACTGTGGGCCAGAGATGTGAAACTACAGAAAGGACTCTGCAGCAGGTCTGGGCTGTGGTGCAAGCAGGATGCCACTTGAACCATATGATCGGGCAGATCCCATGATGCCAGAGGTGTCAGTAATGGGAAAAGATGCAGCGTGGGGTTTATTCTCATGAGTGTGGGCCCCTGGGCTTTGGGGGTAGCAGTGACTTTTACTGGTGGTGAACTGTAATGAGGTACTGGTGGAGGGGGATGTTACCAGTTGGCGAAATATCCCTGGTACTTGAGAGGTACGAGGGAGATGGTAACCAGGCTTGGGTGACGATTTGCTAAACACCATTGATCGGCTGAAGAAAGATCTGACATGCTCAGGGTGAATAATCACTGATTCAAAGCACAATGTGAAAGCCCGAGGATCCCCTTGGCTACATTTAAAGGGACCCTAATCTTCTGCAACTAGAGGGCAGACAGAGGGGAAGACCAGGCTTCAGACATAATCATAAGTGTAGCAGAACTTCAGAGAAGGTTGAATTCTCAGGCCCAGGACATCTCCTATACCATGTTCAGGGTCCTAATGGGACAAGGCTGAAGCCCTGAAACTTGAGGTGGGGCTATCTGGGAAGATGCATGTAACATCTTGAACTTATTGATTCACCTGAACCCACTGGGCCTGCAGAAGTAGCCCATTCCTCCTTGTTAGAATATAAACCTTCCTTCTACTTGAAGATAATACAGAGACCTCAATGAAGCAGGTCCCTTAGAAAAGAAAGCTTGCCCTTTTCAGAATCTACCCCCTTCCCCTCTTAGCAACCAGATCAATAAGCAGAGTCAAGTCCTAGCACATCCGAATGGAGAAGTTCTAAGCTTGCAAAGGAAGGAAAGAAATAATACTTAGAGGCTGAAAAATCTGGCCAATATATGTTGGCAGGAGCTGTAAAAGTGCATGACACTGGGTCCTAAGGACAGTGGACCAAAGAGGTGGAACATGAAGTTGGACAACTTAAAAGGACCACCGTGTCCTTAAAAGGACCGGCAAGGACTCTAGGAGATGCTGCTGATACACTGTTGGATGACTTGTGGAAGCCTGGAGAGAACAATGGTCCACACCAAGTGACGCAGAAATGCCAAATCTTCCATGGAGGATTGTGGAGGAAAGGATCAAAGGATTCAAAGAAGCAGACATGTTAGAGAAGATATACTATGTAAGTCTAGAAAACTCATCCACTGACTATGTTCTATCGGAGGGCCCAGAGGATATACCCAACTTAAAAAATCAATAAGGCATATGCTAGTGAGAGTGGCACGACCCATGCTGAGAAGCACGGTAGTGTTAAGGTAATAAATGAGGACCTGTCTCAGGTCCTGCTCACAGTGGGTCCGCTGGGTCCACAGGTCCACCCAGTGGTCACTTCTTCGCTTCACAAATGCATAATTAAAATGGACAGTCCTGGGAGCTCCTGGGTGGCTCAGGTGGTTAAGCATCCACTTCTTTTGATATTGGCTCAGGTCATGACACTGTTTGTGAAATCGAGCCCCGCATCGGGCTCTGCACTGGCAGTGTGGAGCCTGCTTGGGATTCTCTGTCTCTCTCCCTCTCTTTGCCTGTCCCCCCCCCCTTTTCTCACTCTCTCTCTCTCCCAAAATAAATAAACAAACATTTTAAAAAATAAAATAAAATGGACATGTCTGTAGTTGTCAGAACCCCTTCATGGGTTCCTTGGTTTGTGGGGTAAGAGTTATTGTGGTGGGGAAGTCCAAATGGGTGCCTCTGAAACTACACACCCCTCCCCTGATCAAATCAGCAAACCAAAGATAATATTATATCTATCCTAAGGGTGATGGTGCAAACTAGTCCTAGTGCGGCAGGTGGCCACTGACTTAATGAATGCACTCTTTTCGATTCTGATCAGAAAAGAGGATCAGAAACATTTCGCATTCACATGGGACTGACAGCAATATTTGTTTATGGCCTCGCCATAGGGCTCTGCTACCTTTCTCATCCCGTATCATCATATAGTCCAGAGGGACTGGACCGTCTGGACATCCCACAGAATATCACACTGGACTACGCTATCAATTACATCATATTGATTTGGCAAGATGAGCAAGGCATGACTAGCACCCTGTCTTGCCAAGACACAGGCACTCCAGAGGGTAGGGGATAAACGCTACAAAGACCCAGGGGCCTGCCACCTTAGTAAAACTTTTGGGGACACAGTGGTCCAAGGCCTGCCAGGACAGCCCCTCCAAATGATGGGGCGAACATTGCATCTTGCACCTCCCACCATAAGGAAAAAAAGCACAACACTTAGTAGGTCTCTTCAGGTTCTAGAGGCAGCACATCCCACACCTGTAAATACTGCTCTGATTCATTTTTCAGATGCAGCATAAGGTTGCCTCCCCTGAATGGGGGCCGGAGCCGAAAGGGCTGTGTGGCAGGTCCAGGCTGAGGTGCCAGCAGTCCTTCCACTTAGGCCACATGATCTGGCAGATCCTACCATACTGGAGGTGTCGGTGGTGGGAAGAGATGCAGTGTGGAGCTTCTGGGAAGTTTGAGTGGGAGGCCCCTGGGGTTCTGGAGCAAGGCCATGCCATCTGCAGCACAGAATTACGTGACTTTTGAGAAACGATTCCGGGTGCGGTACTGGGCCCTGGTAGAGACAGAATGCTTGACTATGGGGTACCAGGTGATTATGCACCCAGGTGCTCATTAAGGGCTGGGTCTTGCCAGGCCCACCAAGTAATTAAGTCAGGTGGACCCAGCAGCTGGGATCAAGCTCAGGCAGGACTGAGCAGGTAATCTAGCGCCTCCCTCAGCTCCCGAGGGAACCCCTTACGACCAGCTGATGAAGGAAGGAAGAAAAAGCCTAAGCTTGGTTCACGGGCGGACTGGCTTGGTATGTGGGGAGAAGCCCAAAACGGACAGCGGCTGTACTACAGCCCCACTCAAGAGTGGTCCTGAAAGACAGTGGCAGAGCTCCCAGTGGGCAGAGCTTTGGGCTGTGCGCCCGGTTGTCTACTTAACAGGGAAAGAGAAGTGGGCCAGGATTAGAATATATATTCGCTGATGGGCACTGGAGGATGGCTTGGCTGATCAGAGGCCTTGAAGGAAAAATATTAGAAGATCAGGACAAGGAGTATCAAGCCAAGTGAAATAAGTCCGTCAGAGAAAGACAAATATGTGATTTCACTCATACTGTGGAGTTTAGGGAACAAAACAAACGAGCAGAGGGAAGAAAGGGGTGGGGGGGGAGAGAGAGAGGGAGAGAGGCAAACCAAGAAACAGACTCTTAATTATAGAGAACAAACTGATGGTTATCAGAAGGGAGGTGGGTGGGGGGATGGGTGAAATAGGTGATGAGCACTGGGTGATGTATGGAAGTATTGAATCACTACGTTGTAGACCTGAAAGTAATTTAAATAAAAAC